CTACCCATCTGACTTTCTTCGTGGGTGGTTGGCGGGTGCTCTGGTGTACTTTGCTTCTTCTTCTTTCCTATCGAACATCTTCGTCCTTTACTCCCCTTCTTCTTTTTTATGTTTGTTACTCTCTTGTAACACCTCTAATCTTCTGGCGCTCATATGACCTTATGCAGTTGCGAGCGCCGTAAAACCTCTACTAAAACTAAACTGACTTTCTTCTCCTTCCATTTCTGCGAATGACCTTTATTGTGTTGGGTTTTTTTTTTCCTAAAACAATACTACCTCTATTCCAATACATTATCAATACAGGTTTGTTGATCTGTTATCCCTCTGTGGTGTAGTGTACTCCCTCTCTCCTGGCATCCATCTGTCGTCCCGATCGCTCCTCCTCCTTTTTTTTGTGTTTGTTACTCTCTCATAACACCTGTAATCTTCGGCACTGATTTGACCTTTTTGTGTGGGTGGTTGGTGGGTGCTCTGGTGTGGTTTGCTCCTTCTTTCCTATTAAACATCTGTCGTCTCTATCTCCCCTCCTTTTTTGTGTTTGTTACTCTCTTGTAACACCTCTAGTCTTCGGCACTTACATGACCTTATTGTGTTGCAAGTGCCATAAAACTCTTATTAAATTAGATTAACATTTCAAGTTCTTTTGCTCAAAAAAATTGTAATTGTAAATGGACTGATTCGTCAATCTCATGCTCATAACTGTGCCTGAACTGCAACAGGGAACTGCTGCTATTTCTTTCATATTCCTTACTATGGTCGTTTTCCTCTACTTCTTTTGTATGTTTGTCACACTCATGTGACCTGCTATTTCCAGGGTGCCTTGATAGTCGAAGCAGATTTGTGCTGTTGAAGCTAGAGAGGTGAGCAGGGTAAGCCTGATTCCCTGTAGTAAGGACATCTCATTTGACATCCACTCCTTGGCGCTCATATGACCTTACGCAAATGCGAGTGCTGTAAAAACTCTACTATAACAAACCTCATTGTGTTGCAAGTGCTGTAAAACTAACTTTAAAAAAATACCACCTCTATCCTGATACATTATCAATACAGCTTTGATCTGTTATCCCTCTGTGGTGTAGTTTACTCCTTCATTCCTGTCAAACGTCTATCGTCTCTATCTCCCCTCCTTCTTTTTTGTCTTTGTTACTCTCTCTCTAACACCTTTAATCTTCGACACTTATATGACCTTATTGTGTTGCAAGTGCGCCCG